CCACCTCCTGGTAGATGAGCTGCTTCCACTGCTCCACGGTGTGCTCGCGCTCGTCCACCGAGTGGTCGTAGGACGCCGGCGCGGGCTGCACGCAACAATTAAACACTTTAACAATAGATCCCGCTTTAACATCTTCACACGATTGTCCCGGTGTAATACCACGACTATAGAGAAGACCGGCGTGAATTGTCAGTCTGTCTGTCTGTCTCAAAGTCTGAATTGTATGTGCGGTGGAGGCCTAATTTTACTCTTATTCTTCCAATTTAATCCTGTCCTTACTTATAAGGAATCTCAATCTAATCTTGATCTTTTCTACTATCAATTCCATTCTTAAATGGAAAGGGAAAGTGGAATTGATAGCAAAAAAGACACATAACAAAAAATATCCTCTTTACGTGCGTCTTCTCCGTTGATTAAGAGAGGGAAATGCTACAATTACGAAAGCTCTGGGGGTGTAGAGGGGGTGTAGGGGTGCGTACTGACCGCGTTGACCTCTCCCTCGTCGTACCAGACGTTGATGTAGGGGTGCAGCAGCGCCTCGTCCACGGAGATGCGGCGCTCGGGGTCGATCACCAGCATGCGGGACAGCAGGTCGCGAGCTTGCGACGCCTGCACAACATTCTATGTTAATACCTTCTAGATACTTCTGTACGTCCTAAAAAACCTCTTTACACTCGCTTAGCTAGATTATAGCGACCGAATCACATCGATTCTAGTGTGGTTCAAACATTTTATTAGCACTGTTTTCAATCGCTGGTTTGAATTATGTGAATTCTAATCTTACTAATATTATAAATGCGAAAGTTTGGATGGATGGATGTTTGTTAGAGTTTGTAGCCTAAACTACTGAATGGATCGATATGAAATTTGTCATAGATGTAGAGGATAATACGGAAGAACGTGTATAGGCTACCTAATTTAGATATTTTTTTGTCCTTACGGATGGAATCTCATACTACTTTCCGTTTCCATCCGTGACATTTTTATCGGTGTTGTGTCTATTTTAACTATGTCGATCTCAATAAATGGATTATACATTTGTTTCTGTTATTGTCAGTGTTGTTTGTGTCGTGACCTTGAGGCGGTTGTGTTCGTTGGAGTCGCTGGGGAAGAGTATGTCTGGGAAGAGGCGCTCGAAGCTGTAGCCGGCGTAGCGCGGCCTGTTCTCCACGTAGTTGCGCACGGTGGGCTGCAGACGCGCCATGAACGCCGCCGACGGCGTGCCCAGTTGCTCTGTACACACCGTCTTATATTAGCTGACCCTGGCCTGGCACAGGACACTGGGATAGAACTCTAAAATAATATCGATGGGTGAAAGGCTATTTGTTTTAAGCCCCATTAGGTTAAATGTTCAGGAGAGTCATTCAAAGTTTTTAGAAATAAAGCATAAAAAAACTTAGTTGAAAGATTTTCAGACTGGTTTTAGACTGAAATCACTTTCTTTACTTTTCTATAAATCCTGCATACTTCATTGTTTATTAACGACCCAGAAAAAATCACCTATGCTTGATATATTACATGTAATATATCAAGCATAGGTGATTTGATAGATGATCGTGGTCAAACTCTAGCTTAACAAATAATAAAAAAAAAAAAATGTAAGTCATTATCGCCTAAAATGGCGATTTTAACAAATAGGCTTTCACCCGTCGGTATGTAAATAAGAAAATTATACCCGCTGTCCTACCCCTGTTAACTGTTTTCATAACGGTCAAAGGTATATTTAAACGCCTAAAACGATAACACAGTAATCTCTCTATAACGCCGTTGATGGTGCCGCGTTATATGAATTCCCAACACAGAAATAAATCGCATTATAGAAGAGTTCTTAATAATTATTGGGTATTGTTTAAGATGAAATAAGAGCCCATAGGACTTACCAATAATCTTATTCCACTGGTCGATGTGGTCTGTGCCGGGGAAGAGCACGCCCCCGCGGATCATCTCCCCCATGATGCAGCCCACGGACCAGATGTCCACGTTCTCCGTGTACCCCATGCCCAGGATCACCTGATCACATCATACTATTATTATAAACTAGCTATTCCCGTGCGGCTTCATCCGCATTAAATTATCTATAAAGTATATTTTATTGCTTACATAAAAAAATCTCAATTGTAAACGTCAAGATTCAAAGAAAAAAATGGCAACCTTGCTTCCCACATGAAGGATTTTTTTTTAATTTCTGAGGTGGTGGAGTGGGAGTGTGAGGTGGTGGTGTGTGGGTGTGAGTACCTCCGGCGCGCGGTAGTATCTGGTGACGACATAGGGCGTCATCATGAATGTGGTGCCGGCCGTGCGCGCCAGACCGAAGTCCAGGATCTTCAGCGTGCAGTCACTCTTCACCACGATGTTAGACGGCTTCAAGTCCTGGTATAATATACATAAAACTTAATAGAATCGCGGGAAAAGCTAGTTATAGATAAATAATTTTTAAATAACCATATGCAAGAAATATTATGAGATATGACGTCATAGTCCTTAAATAGAAAGATTTTATCTGTTACCCTGTGTATGATGCCTGCGAGATGGAGATGCTTGATGCCGCAGAGCATCTGGTAGAGCAGGTAGCTCATGCGCTCGTGGTCCAGGTCCATCTGGATAACCTGGCACAAGTTGGCGTCCATCAGCTCCATCACCAGGTATACATCCTGGAACTCCTCGAGGCTGCGCTGAGGCGTGAACGCGTTCAGCAAGCCGATGATCTGAGGACAGAACCCATTGTTCTCTTACCATACAATAAAATAACCCACGCTCTTAAGTATGGTAAGCAGAGACCATGGACCTTCATTTTGTTTACCATACATTTACAAACATCAACATTATCAGAAAGTATTTTTGAATTTAGTTTAAATTAAGAGTGAACATTCATACTAAATTTGAAAAGAATAACTTTTCAATAGCTTTACAGCTCTCAAACTCACCCACTTTATAAAAAAAACAATAACAATTTTAAAGTGTTACGTCAATAAAACCCTACTTTAACATTACTTACATTCTTATGATTAACGAGTTTCATAAGCTTGAATTCTCTATAAGCGCGCTTAGCGTGCGTTACATTCTGGAATGGACGCGACAGCTTCTTGATGGCCACGTTCTGCTGTGTCACCGTGTCGTACGCCGCGCTGCAATACAACTGACAGCTTCATCACTTGTCACATACCAATACATGCATTTTAATCCTGACTCCTGTCATATACTGATTGGACGTAAGAAATGATTTATTAAATATCTCCATTGTAAATATTCAATTTTTTTATTAAAGAAATATGTATCTTTGTGTATAACTTTTCATTTCTCGACTCTCTACATATCGGAATAAATACATCAAAAAGCACATTTTAAATCTATGTACTACACATTGATATTAAAAAAGATCAAATTAATTTCAAACACAAAACGTTATCAAATAAATCACGATGGTTTTCAGAATATTAAAAATATTCAAATCCATAAGATACATGCATATAAGTAACAATAAAACACATTTATAAATCAAGAAATAATGATATTGTAATGGTCAGAGAAACTGTTTAGTGTCAACAATAAAAATAATTAAAAAGACAATTAATTGTTACAATAATAGAATAGTTAGTCAAAATATTAAATGGCGAAGCGCCTTCATTAAGTTAATTAACAATATTTTTATAATTCATTCCAACTTTTGTCCTGCATATTAAAAAAAATCCCACTTAATCTAATATTATGGCTACCCATTTTACATTATCCTGTTTACAAATTATGAACTTCAAGTTGGTATAAACTATACACATCTCTTTAGTAAGTTAAAAACATCGTAACACGTAAAACTCAAACCTATCCGAGAAACATTATTGAAATTTAAACAAACAAAAGACTATCAATAATCCAATTAGCTGCTCTTTTACGAATTTTTAAATAAAAATATCTTTGAAAACTTAATTGATCTACATATTTGACCTGATTATGCATCTAAATAAAAACGTAATTCGTAAACTGCATTTATTGATTGTAAAATATTACCTATTTCACAATAAAGTTGTACACTAAGAAGCGACTTTCCTTCCAATCCAGTAAGATCACAGTTCTTACGGTAATAAATTTTGTACCATGTTTTCGAAGTGAAATTGTACACGAGTTCACAAATGAAACAACCGGACAGTAAATACTCGCTGAAGTAAAAGACATAGAAGAAAGTTAGAGATCACACGACAGACAGATGTTAACCGGTGAGGATGTGAAGCGAGTGATATTAGTCCAAACACCAAAGCTTATTAACAGGTCACAAGTTTCAAAAAGGTAAGAAGCGTGTCACGACAGACAGACGCTAGAGTTCGGAATTGTCACGGGTTATAAAACAGGATGGAAGACTGTTGGAAGTAGGGTAGTGTAATGTGTAAGGGGGAGGAAGGGAAGTGTGGGTGAAAGCGTGAAGCTGGCCTCGCGGCGGAAGGTCTTACCACACCATGCCCTGCGCGCCGGCGCCGCGCCGCACTAGCTCGCTGTACCGTGTGGGCACAGTGAACACCGTGTCACCGAAACTCACAGAGTAAAACTGAATCATCTCTACTCGTCTAACAATACCCGGCATCAGCTATAAACAAAACACATTATATTGGCGGTGCTGAGTGCGTGCTGTGGTGTGCCGGTTAACTCGTCCACTGATTGTAAGAAATACTAATCGATTAAAGTATTCGATCAAATCTATCGGAATCTGACCATAACTTTTGTTATAAATACGTTTTCTGAATTGTCAACATTATCTTTTTCTCATATGAAGTTGTAACAGAGCAAATAGAAAAGTATAAGTTCAGCTTAAGTGGAAATATGTACAGGTCAATGCAGAGTCCTAGGTAAAGCCAAAAGAAACCAATCTCCATAGAGAAAAGATTATTTACAACTTTGACTATCATCTACATTTTCCAAGTTATAATGCGTGAAGATGAAGTGCAAAGTGAGCATGCTCGAAATGATCGCATGTGGATGATGAAAAAACAGACAGAAGTGTTTCAAGAGGAAATCTAAAAAATCATAAAAAAGGAAAGAAAAGTACATTACATAATCATAGAATAGAAATTTGATGTTAGTTCAATAGATGAGTTTTTAAATAGTACAGATAACCTAAATATTTATCAGATTTTCTGAAAAAATTAACACAGTATCTATTCTTAAATGAAATATAGATAAAAAGCCTAGTTAAAAAACATCGAAGTAAAGGCTTATTCAATTATTTGTAGTTTACAACCTAAGAATTAAAGTCAAACAGCGATTATGGGGATTTTAAGACACTTTCTATAGATAATTTTCTGATAAATGTGTTCCTTGAAGTAAAAGTAAAAATAAGGAAAATTCCATTTTTATTCGACTAACTATCTTTCACCGTTAAAAACAATTGTAGAAGCTACTCAATATAAGTGTAAAGTCTCAACAACTTAGAAAACAACTCAAAACAAAAGAGATGCGAGGTTAACTTGAAACTACAAAAAACTGGACATTGAAATGAAGCTCACTGAAATATTCAAAAAGTTTTTAAAAGACTTTCAAACCTGCAGTTTATTGCATTTTTAATTAAACTGTCTTAAAATATAGATATATAAATCTCAGACTTTAAATCAGATTTCTGAACAGGTATATTCTCTTAAAAGTCTAGAATTAAACAATTTAATGCTTGTCTTCAGTAGATAGCTTATTGAAATCTATTGTCACTATATCTTACAGATAAACAAAACGCTACGCTACAATAAATTGATCTTCAACTTTAGAAAAAAGACTTACATTTGTGTCTTTTTAATTTTATTACTCCTAAAAAAAGTAGTAATCACGGAAATGATGACTGGACGAAGGTTAAAGTAAGATTGCTCACTTTGTTTCCGGAATACAAGATGTTAACCGCATGTTGTATCAATACATTCCTGCTTACATAGTAATAGATCTTATTGCTGGCGTAGTATACGAGGCAGTGTATGTTAGTGCTCACCATACGATCCCTTGCGCGCCGGAGCCGATTGGCTTGAGGTTCTGGTAGCGCTTGAGGATGGTGAAACGCGTGTCGCCCACCTCGACGGTGTAGAAGTGAGGGTGTCGCGGCGGGGCCGACATGGCGGTCGCGGGCGCCGCGTGGGGCATCAACCACCCCTACCTGACGAATATATTAAATTAACAATAATCAAAAATACTTTTAACTTGGATTAATGTCACATGTCCGTAGTGGAGATGAGGGCGTCCACAGTGCATCGCCAGCTCGATCTATCCAGGACTAAGTTTCTTTTACATCAAAAATTGGCTTTGTCGTGATCAGAGTTTTCAAGAAAGGTAAGAACCATTTTAGGCAAAATGTTGCTTATCTTAGAATAAATTCCTAATTAAAATGTATCGTAACAACATACGCCTGTAGCCTTTGGTAAATTTAAGATACCATGTTACAAAGGAATTGTTGCTAACTTTAGTGGCTTGGCTACATGATATAGTTGTTTCGATAAAGTTATTTAAGCGACCTTCTCTCTCCTTAAAGTCATTTTAATTCTGCGTAATAAGACAAGTGCCTTCAAAAATATCAATTCTTTACTAATATTATAAAGAGGAAAGACTTGTATTTTTAAATTTTTGTATGTCAAGCAACTCAAAAACTACTGGGCCGATTTTAAAAATTCTTTTACCGTTAGAAAGGTAATTTTTTTTTTAATTACACGCGGGCAACAGCTAGTTCACAACTATTTTAAGACACAATAGTGATAAAAGAATTTAGGGACTGAATGATTTTATGTACCAATATGGATTTTATGTATTAATATGTAAAATAATTTGTATAGTGTAAGTGACTTACTTGACAAAGTTATCCGCGTAGAAGGAGTGCAAGCAGTCCATATATCGGGGCAGGTTTGTGCTTGCTTCGGAGTGCGGAAGCGAGTGAGGAACTTATGGCGTGCAGTGCAGCTGACACGGGCAGTCGGGCAGTAGGGCAGGTAGGCAGTCGGGCAGTCAGGCGAGCAAACTAGTGGAAGACTTCAATTTACTGATTGTGTCTGTAACAAAATATTTGACACAATTATCAATTTATTACCAACACTTTTTTACAAAATTCCTTATTTACACAAGTCATACATCATATTAAATTGCACAAGTCGTATAGACTATAATAATCTAAAACAATATTAATATTTAACAGTGGTAGTGCCCGCTTTAACATCTTAGCACTGCAGGGCACGCCTCCAGTAGTATCACGACCACACAGAAGACAGGAGTCAAATGGAAGCAATTCCCTGTTTCGTCTGATGAGTGTGGTACCGGTAATTTAAGTCCTTTTCTCTTTACCACCCTTTTCTTAAAGGAGAGGATGGTAACGGGAAGTGGATTTGGCGGTGGAGGGGATGCGTAGGAAGGGGAAATATCCTCTTTATGTGCGTCTCCTTCTCCGTCGGAAAAGGGTGGGCAACGCATCTGCCATTGCGGATGTCTATGGGCAGCGGTCGCTTCGCCATTTGGGCGGATTCGGGTGGCCGCTAGCTCGTTTGCCACATTATGTTATAAAAAAAATGATATTATTGTTCGCACTGTAACAGTCTGGCTTGCTGGCGCTTTCATTAAAACTATTTAGTTTCCTTATTACTCTGTACGACTAAATTTCTCCTCAACGAATATCGTTATATCCTTAAATTAGAAATACTTGTGAATTCGTAAAAAAATAACACTAAAGTTTAATATCTCTTTTTATTAAGATAATTTTGATTTGGATAAACATAATGAGGGCGTGATGGCTCACTCTGACTCGGCGTTAGGTTGAATCTCTTCTCGTTAATTCGACTTCACGGTAAAATTGCTCATTTACATTTTTAAGTATACGGTCGCCTCCGACGCCGTTTACTTAATAATGTAATGAGATGAAATTTATATTTTCTTCCATCTCAAATATTTCCATTTTTTCCTTTGAAATTTTTTTACCTCTGCATTTCCTCATAGAAAATACTTACCCAATTACAATTAATGTCTACTTTTTTATTGTGATCACTTTGAAAAAAGAAAAAACATCTATTTACAAAGTTAAAGGCCGATGTTGCAAAGATATATAACATTATAGACTGGCATAAAACTAGGCAAGGGCACAATGGAATCGATAGGAGTTACGTACACATGTGACGGAAACGAACTTAGACACGGTTTATTCAAGGCTGAGACAAACTCTACTTAAGACCACGAACTTGAAAACCCTAGTAGATTCAGACTTGGCGACTAAAACGTTTTGAGATACATCATTATACGTACAACTCCAGATAAAAAAATCCAGTACCAACATTCTTTTTTAAACGGAAAATGTTCATAGTAAGAACGTTTATTTTTGTAAAAACTTTACTATTTCTGTTTCCAAGCGAGATATCTCAGAGCATGCAAGATCGAGCAAGTGGGCCGAGAGCGGAGAGCAAACGCGACGTCGTCACTTCACGGACCAAGACGTAGCGTGCCTGTTATATTGTGTAGGGCGACCAAGAACGAAATATAGAAATGTGGAAAGGGATATAAAAAAGAAATGAACATAGAAAATTAAAAGTAACATTTTTATTTCTGTCGTAGTAAGTGTAAAGTAAAATATTACTATAGATATGGAATAGAAATGAGAAAGTCGAAAATTTTAATATTACCACTTTGAAGAAGTCAACAAATGAAAAAGGCTCGAGATTCACTTAATATTTACTGAATGTTTCTACACAATTAGATCCCACCAAAGTAAACGCGTCAAAATCCCGCCGTAAACATAGCTTTTTACAGTCTGTAAAAGTTAAGGCAAACTTCGTCAGTAAAAATAAAGTAGCTACGTAACGCGTAGCTTTCGTTTACAGAAGAGAAATCCGAGAGATAATTAAATATTAAAGTAAGAAAAGTTTTACTTATTAAGAGTTTCACTTAACTTTGAGAATACATTTTACTTTTATAACACAACTTTGTACTTATCATATTACATACACTACAAATTAGTTCATAATTTACTTTTGCTTTTCTGTCAAATAATTTTCGCCTATATTATATTTTATTACTGTAATTTCTTATAGAAATTCATTTATTTACTGGTAGTACAAAGTTTAATTATTTTCCGAAAATACATGTTATTTTTGCGTACAATTAACATGTAGGTCTCGAAACTAATAAGACTGTCTCACATTTTGCAAATTCATGGACACATCATCCGACAAATTAGGTCTGAGTGTCCGTCGTAATGAAAGTCGTTCTCCGGAGTTGAGGGACGTATCTTTTAAAGACAAACTTAAAACAAACTTCCTTTGACAAGTTGACCTGGGCCGAGCTTGCAGGAGCGCTAGCGATGCATCAATTTCTAAGTGCTACTTTAACTTAATTAATAAAGAGAAAACTTTGCATTATAAATATAAACGGGTATAATTTTAGAAGAGACGTTAAAGCAAATATTGACGGGATGAAGCTAATATATTCAGAGCTTGGATACACAAGAGGGAGAATAGACAGGGACTAAAAACTAATATGTAACTATAAAGTAATAAAAATGTAAATAAGTACGACAGCTCTAGAGTTTCACACATATGTTTGAAATTCAACAGTGTCACCTGGTTTTTAGAGCAAACATATCTTTATGAATGCAAATTGGAAAACAGCTCGCAACATGACCCACTAACATTTAGTTAAAGATGGAAGTTTATTCATCTACGTACTTCACGATTTATGTCATTAATGTGAACACCACACTTAGATCCACTTTCCACTAGCACGACTAAGCGACTAGGCGACATCTAACCGCTTATGACTAGATTTTATGAGATGCAGTGAATATTCTGCATATATTGCTCACAGAAATAGTCGCACGAGTCGTGCCTGTGGTAAGGGGACTTATTTTTAGCTGTGACGTCACCTTGCGGTGTTAGTGCGTTGAGGTGGACTGCTGTAGTGGAGAGAAGCATGTCAAGTGCAGGGAGTAATTGGAGCGAGAGGAACCGCTTTGACTGGCTGTCGAGTATCTCACGGGTGGAGCATGTTTTTGCAATCATATTCAGACAAATTACCTTCATTAATGATGACCTGAATAATATTTGATGTAGAAATAAATTTCTAATATTTACTTCAATTTCGTTTTAAAATTATAGAATACTTGCTTTCGCCCGCGACTACATCCGAGTGGGATTTTAAAAAGAAAACAAAAGTGAGTAGCCTACATGTTCTTCCAGACTATCCTCTACATCTATGCGAAATTTCATCAAGATCCGTTCAGCCGTTTAGACTACAAACTCTAACAAACATCCATCCATCCATCCATCTAAACTTTCGCATTTATCATATTAAGTAAGAAGTAAGACTAATATTTTTCTAATAACCCTTATTGTTAAATTATTTCTAACACATACCATTTTTTTTATATTACAATGAATAAAATTCCATATGTATTAAGTTCTAGTCACGTTAATATATGGCATTAATATTTCTCTCAAACTTAGTTTCTAGTATAAAAGCATAAGCTTAAAGCTGTGCCAGACTGCCGACTGCCGGCGCGTTACGTAAGAAGATTAAGTGGAACTTTTGGATCCGTAAATGTACAGAAAAGCTTCTGTCCCTACTTAGGAAAGAATTCTTGTGAAAACAGTAATATGGCTGTTTGAGAAATAATTTTAACTGACACAAGAAGGTTTTATTATATCGGTATTTACTATTTTTTTATAAATTTAGAATTGTGTCGAAACAGTTAAATTTGTTAACAAAATTTCTTCAAGACGAGACCAATACACGATCTCCCATAACCTTGTAAGCGAAATCCATCAGTACAAATAGGTATTGCTATGTAACCACTCGGCAAGCCGCCAGAACAGCACGCGAAAAATTACCAATTTGTTACAACCCTGAAGTTTTCGCTTCACTCGTTCCCGCTACTATAAATGCTTACAAGCACCTTATGCTAACTGCCTAAGGTTCCAAATGCTTCGCTACGCTAGCCCCTGTAGTTCGCCTATTACCAAGGATCCGTACGAAATGCGCCCCAGAGACGGGGCTCAAATCAGAACAAATGTGCGGTCTATTTATATAGGAAGGTGAAATATTTTTCGTAT